ATGAAAAAATACTCTTCACCCCATATGTCAAAGTTCATAGGTCAAATGTTCAAAATGTTACTAATGGCAAACCATTGAACCGAATTCAATAAAATTTGGTCATTAAGAACCAGTGACACCTCCTACATCCCTGTCTGGCATCAGTGGTTACATAGGGTTCATCGGGGTCAAATTTTCAAAATAGCCCAATTGAGCTCGAATTTACCAGGAATGATCCTTGGGACCTTCTAAACATGAAAAACTACTCTTCACCTATAGGTCAAATATCACAAGGGACTATAGTGAAAATTATCAAATATTGCTAGTGACTAACGATTGGACCAATGGCATTAGACAGACTCCTACCAAACATGGGGTGTTCACAGGTTGAGGTTAAAAGTCACAGTGGTTATCTCTTAAAAAATGACTGGGTTCATGTTCTATTGAACATAGTATCTCTAGTTATATTCTTATGTTTTTATTGGTTTGACAGCTATGAAATTTGACAGCTTTATAAATTTTATATATTTTTTTTAACAAGACTCCTTTAATTTTGTCAATATTTTAATTTGTTTAAATACTTCATTGATGCTTTTATCAATTATTTTAGTATTTTACTTTTATCGTTCTTATGTTTTTTATTAATTTTATTTTTTTTATTCCTGCATATTATTATTATTATTATTTATTTATTTATTTATTTTATTATTATTATTATTCGTATTATTATTATTATTTATTTATTTATTTTATTATTATTATTATTGTTGTTATTTTTGGTTAAAAAATTACACTACTGTACTTTTAGGTCTTCATTTTACAAGCTCGATTTTCATGAATGTGCTTTTCATCTTTTTTTCTATTTTAAACATATTTAAAAGTTTTATTTGTAAATTTGACAATGATTTGATGATGAATAAGAAAGATTGAATTGAATAGAAGTGTGCCTTCTTATATTACTTTTTATATTAAACTTTATTAATGGCACTGGCTTCTTATGAGGTGATTCCAGAAATGTTCCGACGGATTCCAACAAGCCCGACACTGTCGCCTTGATCGTCGGTTGCGGGTCCCGGAGAAAACATTAAAAAAAGAGGGGGGGGGGGGTGCTCGTTTACGGATTCGATTAGGATGGCAGAAAGAATAATAAAACTAATGTTGTTTGGATCGGTATTTAAATACTTAAGGGACCGTAGTTTTTAGGGGCCACCACTTAACATTTTCACGTCAGTGCATATTAATTTTTTGGGCCCTAGGTGCTCCACCAAAATCATTTTGTGTCTGAAAGAAAAAAGCTGGTGTTTAATAAAAGGATTTGTAACCAGGGCACTTGGATTGGAAAGCAAGCGGATTTTGCCAGTTCTAGCTTGATCCACTCTCATAAAAGAACACGACATTTAATAGTGTGAAATGAGAGAACTAGCATAGGCGGTGGCTCCATAAATTTGCCGACAAATGGTCAGACATGTCCGATGGATGGGTCCAATTAGAACCTCAGTCGGGGTCCCGGAATAAATAAATTCTAGCTAGGTTCACTGTTTTAGAGTTTTATGGTTTATATGGTCCAAATTGTGCTTTTAATCCACAATATCGGATTGGCAATCATAATAACGTTATTTGGATATGGTTAATTATCATTTTTTAAATGTTTGATCCGACTTTGTCGTGGTGTCGGACGACAGGAATCCCGGCCTCTCCGATGGGATGGCAAGTGTTTCCCTGCACCCACTGAGCTGGCTGTCATATAGTCAAATTAGGCCTAACAGGTCCGTAACAAAGAAAGTGGCTTTTTATGGATATAGTAGTAAATACTAATCATATCACTATCAGCATATCACACTATGCAAACTATATTTGTGAAATAAATTTAATGTGAACTAGTAGTACATACCTATTTTGAATCCAACTAAAATAATTTGAAATTGAACCAGGAAATATATGACGAAATTCAACATATTGGCTTCAAGTCCTCGTTAACCTACTTGAATAACAATAGGAAAGAAGTGGAGAGTAATTTCGTATGTCAAGAGAGTTCATATTTAGCATAACAATGTTTAACTAGATTTGAACTCGTCACTGAGAACAAGTTCGGTAATCCGCCGTACTTTGACCCTCATTAAGATCACGCGGTGCTGATTGAAAAGTGTCATGCTAAAATATGCTGTAATTATTTTTTTTTTAAAGAATAATTTTGAGCATTTTAAAAGATTTACGCATGTGTACACGTACGTCTTGACGCCTGTGAGCACGGTAATAGCACAAAGAGTGACTCCTGATATGAATAATGTGTCAGGAACACAAAGTATGTAAAAAACGTGTTGTCAGGAACACAAAGTATGTAAAAAACGTGATTTCCTGCATCAGTACGTGTTGCGTGCGTGGAAATGAACGTAAGGCGCGTAAATATGGAAAGTTTTGGAATGCTGAAAATGACCCGAAACGTTCTTTAAACTATCTGAATAGTGATATGGAGAATTTTCAAATTTTGACGCGCACGTCACGATGTGTGCGTGTACAGTAATGGCACACGAAATTAAACATTGTCAAGTGTTTTTAAAACCGCCTGTTAATTGGTAATGCCACACAAATTTTCCCTTCATATAACCTATATATATACCAGTCTGATGGCGTCGAAATACAGTCTGCCGCCCTCTCTCTGTTCTATTTCTTTACATCTTTTAAGAATGAGAGATAAAAGGGCTCCAAAAATTAATTCTTTTTGACCATGCTGACGTGATGAAAATAAAAAATAAAGGGACACGTCTGATTTAGCTATAATATACTCACAGGTGGGAGACAATCAAGATAAGCGAGATACGTTCAAACGAGTATAAAAAGTAATGACGTCATAAATAAAAATTGAGATTTTTCTTAATATAAATGGCAATATGATGACGTTACAATGTCCGATCAGCCATTATGACCTATAAAATCATATGTTCAACTCATGTGCTTTCAGAATATGTAATAAAAATTGGGGGTCATTTTTCATTCTAAGGAGCTATAATTGATTGAAAATAGGCATATTTTTGGCCTATTTTTGCTATATGTCGAAAAAAACGCGCACATGTGCTCTTATATTCTATGCGCGCGTACGGCATTGCTATTGACCCTAAATGACCAAAAAAGATTGGAAATTTGTGAATACAGTATCAGGGACCTAAAACATTAAAAAAAAAACCATTTTTAACTTCTGTACGTGCCGCGCGCGTAAAAATGCGCACGCGGTGCCGAAAAATTTGAAAATATTGAAATGCTCAAAATGGCTTAAAACGTGCTCTAATTTAGTCAAAAATTGATTTCGACCATTTTAAAATTTTGACGCGCGCATATGCGCGCTTTATAAAGCGCACGCGCAGAATGAGTGTACATTACATTCAACCTTCACTCGAAGTTAATGATCACGTAATACGATTTCGAAATGTCAATTGGTTAGGCTGATATAATCAATTGCGTAAAAAGCACAAAAATGCGCGTAGATGACGTCACACGTGACTGGTAACCTTGCAAAGCTTATTGTCACTATTCCAGGCCAAGCCAAATGTTTGTTGCAGTCGTTTTGTGCGTAGATCTTGGCAAATTTGAGATCGTGCGAACAGTTATTTCTCAGAATGTAGAATAAAACTAGATTTGAACTCGTCACTGAGGACGAGTTAGGTGATCCGCCGCACTTTGACCCTCATTAAGATTACGCGGTGCTGATTGAAAAGTGTCATAATATGCTAAAATATGCTGTAATTAGTTTTTTTAAAAAGAATAATTTTGAGCATTTTAAAAGATTTACGCATGTGTACACGTACGTCTTGAAGCCCGTGAGCACGTTAATAGCACAAAGAGTGACTCCTGATATGAATAATGTGTCAGGAACACAAAGTATGTAACAAAACGTGATTTCCAGCTTCAGTACGTGTTGCGTGCGTGGAAATGAACGTATGGCGCGTAAATAGGGAAAGTTTTGGAATGCTGAAAATGACCCGAAACGTTCTTTAAACTATCTGAATAGTGATATGGTGAATTTTCAAATTTTAACAGACGCGCACGTCACGATGTGTGCGTGTACAGTAATGGCACACGAAATT